TGTTTTAGTTTCAAGAACCTTTTATACTGTTTCTTTTCCCAAAAGCAATAACCTTTTGGTACTTTGTTTTCAAAGAAAAACACCATGGTAAAAAAGAAAATAATAATTATAAGTCAAATATAAGGTTTCAAAGGGGAAAAAAAAATAAATTTAGAGAAAGAAAACAAAGTAAAGTAAAAATTTGAAATAAAATAGAAAAATCAAAAATTCAAGATATTTATACTATACCAACAAGGTTTGTAACTTAGAAAGAAAATGTAAGAGGACTCTCTACAAATCTAAAAAAGATGAGAACATCCAAAATGATTAAGTAGATGGCAAGATATTAAGGGTCAAAGTTTGTGTACTAATATTTGCAAAGACAAAATTTTAAAGAATTTTATAGTAAAGAAAAAGGAGTAAAAACTTTAACAATTTTTAAAGCAACAGGGAAGCATTTTGGTATTAAGTAACCTATATACTAAAAGATAAGGAATATTTTCAAGAATATAAAGAAGATGATATTTTTAAAATAGGGTCAATATTCATAGAGGTATTAAAGAAAACCTAAAGCTAACTAATAAAAAATTAAAATTTTAAAGAAAAATAAAGAAAAGAAGAGAGAATAAAGAAAGAAGAAGGAGAAGGGATGAAATACGAATAAAAAGAACTACTCTAATGAATTTATAATAAAAATAAAATAGTGTTATAAAACAGTTTTATTTTATTAGTTTATTACTTTATCTTAGTATTATTTTATTATTTCGATATTTGTATTTTATTAGTTATTAGTTATTATTATATTAGAGAAGAATTTAAAAGACATGTATAACAATTAGCCTTAATACTTAACGCTTAGGGATTAGCAATTACGCTTAGTAATTAATGATTAATGATTACGCTTAGTGATTAACACTTAACACTTAACACTTAACAATTAGCAATTACAATTAGCGTTTAGCATTAAGTAAATTACGCTTAGCTGCAATGATTAACAATTAGCTCTAAAGATATAAAAAGGCTATAAATTTCCCCAAGTTAATATTAGATCTGAAATAACAACAGACTTGTTATTGTTTATCTCACTTCCCTCTTTACCAAATTCTTTTTTGTAATATTATAGGATTCTTTAAGAATAGAAACCTAAGGATAGCCTATTTTATTTATCTTTAATAAACATATATTTTATCTATAAACTATTGTCTGTTCAAACTGCCACAAACAGAAGGATATAGTTTCTCCAAGAAGCAGAAATTATACTTATCTGTTGGACACTGCTATAAATCTGTAAAGGATCCCTGTAGCTGTGTCATTGTTATAGTACTGCTGTTAAGAAGGCCACAGTACTGTAACAATATTTTTTAAAAAATAGACCAGTATATCAGTAATATTTATTTAACAATTAGTTGAGTATATTATCTGTAATATTGGTATTACTATCTCAAAATAGAAACTCTTGGGTGATTCAAATTCAAGGAACCAGAATAATTAAAACCTATTTGGCAAAATCTGAATAAGGAAGTAATGAAAATTTTCGACGATACTGTGAAAAACTAAAAACCAGAGACCAAAGAACTAAATAAAAACCTTGAAGCAAAAAGAGTCTACTAATCTAACTACTGAAATCGCATTGGAGTAAAAAGTTCTATATTATAAAATTAAAAAGCAAGAGAAGTAAAACCAAAAAGCACTTAAAACCTAAATACAACAATCCATTCAGGCTAACTGGTTTGGTAGTTTGTGAAAAATCGGTATAAAGACTGGTTTGATGTAGATATCAGGATTGAAATGAATCTTGTAAAGATATTAAATACTAGAATTGTGTAGTTTAATTGTTAATTCTGACTGCTAGTGATGATTTCGACTGCTGCAAAAGATATTTAAAGCCTAATCTGAAAATATGTAGAACATAGAAAGATTAGAAGATATATACTACATCTTCTCTAGAGTAACCTAATAGTATGAGAATCTTACTAGATTATCTATAGAATTAGAACACAAGTAATATATTGATCTGAGTTAGTGATATTATCCAAACCCGGTAGTTTAGGACTTAGTAAAATCTGAAAGGGTTTTTACTAGATTTTACAATTGGGTAAAAATCCTATAAATGATAACACAAGCAATTATCACGTGACTGCGTCATTATCTGCACTATGATTATTTCGCAGCAATAGTGTTTTTATTATTAACTTGGTATATATAAACCCAGTTTATATATATTTAAAAAAAAATATTACACAAATATATAAAGAAAAAAAACAGGAGTGCAACAAAAACCTTCATTGCAACAAAAAAAGAGTGCAACGAAAACAACTTCATCGTGACAAAAAAAAAATTTTTTTTGCCTATATTATAATATCACGTTTGTCTAAGTTATAAAAAATTGATCATTAAAATAAGTATCAAATCAAATTTAAAGATTAAATAAAAAAATTACATACATTCGAATAAATTTTATAAAAAATTCGCATTTGCGAATTGAAATTCACTTTCCACAATTGTGACAAGGTCGAACTCCATATTTTCACTCTTTTGTATTTCTGTTGTTGTATATGATACTTCTTCATTATCACCTTGACCTATTGTTACAAATTGAAAGTTGAAAAAATCGATTAGTTGGTTAGTTGACAACTAATCGATTGAACTTCTTAGACACTAACTAATCGATTAATTGATTAATTGACTAATCGATTAGTTGCAACTAATCAACTAAATTAGTTGCAAGAATCGACTGAAAATTTATTTATTTACTTAATTAATTAGTTGCAACTAATCAATTAATCGATCAGTTGCAACTCATCGATTAATCGATTAGTTGCAACTCGTCGATTAATGGATTAGTTGCAACCAACTAAAAAAATAATTAACCAACTAATCGATTGAAAAAATTGATGATTTGTATCACTACCTTGACCACCAAAATTTGTATGCGACAAATTAATAACAGACTCTATTTCAAGTTTCTCATGATTTGACAATTGAAAAGACATTAAAACATCCTTATTCTGTTCTAATATGTTAGTATTTTCTATTTCCGCATACGTTGTTTGGTTTAACGCACTTTCACGTAACTCATTCTCTGACAACTCCTTCCCATAAAATTTAAGTTCATTTTTAAGATTAGAAATGCAATAAGAATGAATCTTGGCCATATTTTCAAGTTGCTGGAATGATAATCATGAATGGTATATATCATATAACCACCTTAGAATATAAAAATTACTTTCGCAATTTACTTGTAAAGGCACAACTGCAAAGATAAGCTATGCAAGGTCTCGAAGATATTTATATTTGTTTTCAATGACACCCCACTACAAATCAGGTGATTTAAAAAAATCATAGGCAAAGTCAAATGGATACTCCCCATTTTTGTAACGAATTAGCAGTGTAGTTAATAGCTGGTATGCAGCTTCATCATTATGTGTACTTTTGTAAAATTTGATGGCTATCTTGCAAATTTGGCAAAATATTCCTTTATGTAAGCCAAGATCTATATATTAAAAAAAAAAATAACAAGTTTTATCAAGTTTTTGATTAGAATATGAAATATTAAAGTTGATCAGGTTTTTTTTTTAGGTTTCAAATTTAAACACTATACTTTTATATCTAGGATGGAGAAAATATGCAAGAAAATAGGGCTTAATATCAAATTTAGCATAACATTTATTAAATATAGTAATGGCCAAGTCATGAAAAATATTATTAGTAGGAATTTTGTTAATCGTTGCAGCCAACTTTACTATATTAACAAAGCAATCTGCAAGATTTGCTGTACGAAATTCTAAATTATGTATTGTTTCCTTAATAGGTTGAATAACGGATACAATTCGATAGCAATTTGTATAGAATATATTATCATTATCATTCAGTATTGAAATAATTACTTTTTTACTAATTGCATTTCGATTACTCTCTAAAATCTAAAAAAAATATATACAGTATTATTAGATAATTCCAAAATTCAATTACTGTAGAACGCTGTATATAGTACTCAGGATACACCTATGTAGCTAATTTTATATATGGGAAAATCCAAAGTGGATATTTCAAATAGCAGATCAGTATAATACAGGCCAAAATTAAAAATTATATCATACTGATCAGTTATAATTAGGATTGTAAAATTGTGTAGGTTTTGGTAAAACAGTTTCTATATAATTAGTAAAAAGGTTTGAAACGCACAAAATTACACAAAATTATATGAAAATGTTAAGATTGTAAAATATAATTTTCAACCCTAGTTATAATTCATACCCTAACGCTAATATATATATAACACCTAGTACTCCGCAAAATCAAATTTTGATTTGATTTTAGGAGTACTAATAACACCAGATCAGTATAATACGAATTCTAAAATTCGGCCTGTACTATACTGACTTGCGAAATACCTTTTTCAATAGGTATTATATTTACTATGTAAGTAAAAGTAATTACACAACCCTATTTTAAAGAATACTATATATAGTGTTGTACAGTATGATAATATAGTATATATCAAAATATAATTACTTTACCTTATCAAAAATGGGCTTTAATCTTACTATTGAAGATGTAGTTCCAAAAATAGAAGCCCATCTTGTTTTACAGTACATTTCTAAACCACCACCATCCAAATTCATATTTTTGATATCATCATGAAGAAGCTGGTTTGCTCTATGTGACTTTTTAAAAAATTGAACTACTTGATTGGCCTGTTTCAAGACGTGATCAACAGGTTGAACTTTTATTATGTTACTTGCAATAAGGTTCAGCACATGAGCAACACATCTTATGTTCCAAACATGTGAATAATTAAATGTTGTAATCTCACGAGCAATACGAATATTGCTTCCGTTATCCATTATACATGCTACAAATTTATTAGAGCCAACTTCTTCAATAACATCAGAAATTTTGAAAGCGAGAAATTCTCTGTTTGTACTGCATCTGAAAAGTCTGATATAGCATATAAATATTCTTTTCGATCTAATGTAGAAATTATAAAATTATATAACAAGTTATTTGCTGAACTTGACCAACTGTTGAGTTCTAATTTTTAAAAAATTATATATTAATAAAATACAAAAAATTTGATGAGTATCGGCAAAGAAAAACTTCAAACTGGCAATTTAAGTATATGTATTATTATAGCTGTTTTCATAAATTTTTGGACATCTGGTGAAAAATTAATTGTTTGGCCGATTCGATAAGTTATTGATTTCAGCATAATAGTGTAACATTCTCTATGAACATTATCTATAAATATAGTCTAAAGCCAAGTACGTATACACGGTTTGTTAATTAAACTTATATGAAACATATAAAATACTATATTCAAGGCTTTAAATGACCTCTATTTTCATGTCCTAACCAAAGTAACATCTAAAATCTTAAGATATTTTATATCATTTAGGTTTAGTTGACGTATTTTTCTTTCAGGTGACGAAACTTTGAGAACTCGACTTATTGAAGATCTGCTAACACTTAAGTGTTTAGTAATTGTTCAAACTGATGACCTTTCTAAATTGTTTTCGACTATTTTCCAGCAAATATGTGACTTATATCGATATTGGTTATCTGATTATTATCAGTTAAAATTGTTACTACTACACTATAAATAGGTCATTTAAAGCCTTGTAATATTTTATTTGTTTAACATAAGTTTTAATTTGCAAATTCAATTCAAAACGTATGTATGTATTTGGCTTTAGACTATCTCCATAAATAATAAACGTCACACTGATCATACCGAAATCAATAACTTATCGAATTAGCTAAACAATCATTCGGTCAATTTTTCTAAAAGTTATAAGAACAGTTGTAAATAATATACTTAAATTTGCTGATTCGAGGTTTTTTCTTGCTAGCACTTATATAGTCTAACCTTGATATAATCATTGGATTGGTAAAAAAAAATTTTATGTAACCCAAACCTTTCAGCACAAATTGATAATTATGATAGTTTTACCAAAACAAGATTATATTTAATATTATACATGTACATACCTAGCGTCAAATTTTGTTCTTTTTTAAGTAAATTATTAGTTCAAACTGTTATACAAGCCATTTCTTCGTCAAGCATCCTCTCTGCTAATGTAAGCCTTCTAGGGGGATTATATTTTGGTTCAATTATATTAAAAAGATCCTGAACAAATGGATTATCAATTACAGAAAATGAAATCCCAGCACAAACGAAGGCTTTAAGTAAAGCTTTGTTAATTTCATTATTTCTCTCATCTAATACAGATTCTAAAGGTTTAGAGGATGGTGATGCACTTTCATCGTCACTATGGTCGGTATCCTTTATATTATCATTTCATTTTGCGACTTAAACTAGCCAATGCTGCCTTATTTTATTGGAAACATTGCCTTTGCAATGCAGAGCCAAGTGTGATTCCAAAACTAAAGGTCTGCCTCGTTTCCACCTTTCTTTAATACAGTATTGACAATTTGCATTATAATAGCCTTTACCATCAGATTCTCTATGAATAAAATAATTCCAAATATCAGATCTTGGACGTTCACCTTTATTTACTGATTTATTTTGAGAACTTATTTCCTCATTTTGTTTCTCGACGGTTTCGCTATTTTGTGATATATCAAAAATATTTTCACATAAATCTTCTATTACAAGCTTTTGTTAATAATTATAAAAAAAAAAATAACGAAATTGATGAATTTTATAAATATTTATAACATTATTTATTTTTATTTTTAATCATTTGAGATGACATTTGTTCTTTATTTTTTATAAAAAAAAGGTTTAGCCCACGATTTTACATAAACTAACTAATTATGAAAAACAAAATTATAAAATTTTAATTATTAGATGCAATTAGAGATTCTGATCAGAAAAATCTTTTTTATCAACTAAGCGAGAAAACGTTACTAATAGGTATAGGGCAAAAATTAATATTATCACGATAACTATCACAATAATAAAAAGGTTTATTTGATCATTATGCACGTTGATTGGTTGTTAGATTTAGGATTACGATAAATGGTCAATGTCGACCAAAATTAGATAGAAATGTAATTACCCCCTTTAGTCAGGTTTATGTAACATCGTTAATCTGAATGACCTTCAATTAAAGCAACACGAGATTATAGGCTGACATAATTGTGATGGTAGTGCAGGATAAGAAACATCTGAAAGTTTAAATAGGTAATCTCCTAGTTAGATTACAGATACAATATATAGTATAGAACCTTCAGGTGAACTAAAATAGGCAATCAAAAGTTGCATATATAAATAAATATACTTTCATTAACCAAAAATATACTACTAAAATACCTAATAAAAATTCATCTTTTCACAACATTGTGAGAAAAAAAAAAAAAAATTTACAGTTCCTCTTCAGATAACAGATAGATTGTTTATTAACAATAATCAAATAAAAAAAAAGCAACCAAGAGGTCACTTTAATATCAAAAAAAAAAAAGAAGCTTCTTTGAGACTTTGTCTTTGTTTAACAATACTTGAATAAAAATCTTAGCCTCAAAGAGATTAGTTTGACAAAAAAACCCAAAAATTTAAAAACAAAAATTAATACTAAAGGAGGTACGGGTATTATGGTACACTTAAGAGTTGCTAATAATAAAAATTTTTATGAAAAGCATATTTATTCACAAAATTTGTTTAATTAATATAACATTCGATTTACTATCTCATAATAAAAAAAAAACCTACACTTTAAAAAAAAACTTGAAATTCTAGACTTTTAAAAATCGTTTAAAAACTGTTATGTTTTTTGAGATTGGGGGTATTATAGTATACGGAATATAATACACTACTATTATAGGGGTCGGCTGAAGCAGAGTTAATTCAATATATGATCTACATGCTGTATAAATTACATTCTTGATATCTATATAACCCGCTAACCAGAACTGCGTCAAAAAGGTAACCCTAAACTTCACTCTGCTTTAGCCAACCACCTATTATGGTATATCGATGTAGGGTATATGATATACTGCTAATACTATATGCATATCAAATCAACGTGATCATATCTTATTTTTTATTTTTACGTATTCGTTCTTTTTTTTGTTCAATTTCAACTTTTTTTTGCGCTTTTTTTTGCTTCTCGATCTGCTCGTTTTTGAACAGCAGCTTCTTTTCTTTTTTTGATATTTTCTGCCTTGCTCTTTACTAATTTATTAATTTCTTTTAATGCTTGTAGAGATTCTTCACTAGTAAGGAGTCGGGCGAATGGCAAGGTCTTCCTTTTTTTTGATGGTTGACTCTCTGGTTCATTAGCTTGTATTGAGTAGGATACTTAAGTGCTAGTTTTAGTGGACAAGTACCTGGGTTTTTGTAAGTTTTAAGTTCCTCTTGTGCCATTATGTAATTTCTTTTCACAGAAATATTTTCATCTTTTAATGTCTTAATTTCTTTTTCTAAAGAGCTAATCACTGATTTTAATATTTCATTCTCTACAGTAGCACTAGCTTGGGTGGAATTATAATCTGGTTGAGAATATGGAATAGAAGAATAATGAATCGGTTGAGATAACATGGAAGAACAATGAATCAGTTGTGAAGATAATGTAGAGGAGTAATGAATGGGCCGAGGAGATAATATAGAGGAATAATGAATGGATTGAGAAGACGATATAGAGGAATAATGAATAGGTTGAACAGATGATATAGAGGAATATAGATTTTGTTGAGAAGATGATGTGGATGAATATAAATTTGATTGGAATGATAATACGGTATTTGAAAGAAGTTCTTGATCGATTTTTTGGGATAAAGGTAAAATATCAATTTGTTTTGTAGATAGAGAGGGATCAAGACGGTCTGAACTAATAGCGTTAGAGTTAAAAGGCCAAATTCCCGTAACTCTATAAGCATTAGTAATTGCTTTAGGTGTGTAAGTTTTTATGAATGCTAGACCAAACATTTTGGCAAATGTGTGTTTTGTTACTAATTTGCCACTTTCACTGTGAAGTTTTGTACAATTTTTGCTATATTCGGTTTTAAGTTTGGCGAAGGGGAGCTCGGATGGTTGAAGGATATGTGTGGTATGTGGGCAAAAATTGACGCTTGTATAATTATATAGCTTTTATGACCATCAAATATTAAAAGAACTGGGCGCTTAGAAGGAATAGAATTAATAAGGTGCTCGATATACATCTGAAATAGGTCTTTTCGCATATATTCTGAGTCAGTAAACCTCATAACGGTGCCAGCTGGAGCACCGTTTAGCAAATTGGAAATTGTGCGAATACCCTTGTAAATAATTAAAGATGGTATATAGCTTCCAGCAGCTGAAATCGTCGGGACGACAGAAATATGATCATGGGTGTTTCTGTGTGATACTTTATGGATTTGGTGAGAGCCTTTCATAGCAATGACTTTTTGTATTTTGGGAGATATAACAAACCCTGTTTCATCCATGTTCCAAATTCTATCTGCAGTAAGTGAATCTTTTTGAATTATTTTATGAAGCTTATCAAAATGGTCCTTAACAATAATTGGATTGGCCCTTTGTGCGCATGCCTCTGACAATGCTTGAGATATACGAAAGGACAAATCAGGATGGTCTCTCATAAAACGTTCCTACCAGTCCTGGCCAGGTTCACTATCCTTAAAAGGATGACTACAATTGCTACTTCTTAGAATATTCATCACGCAATAATTTACACCAGATCGTGTGAGACCAAACCCTAATCTTTGCATATTTTTACAATAACCTACTAGTTGTTCTTCTTCATGAGTACTTAAAATCGTTGAAGGTCCAGGACGGTTAGGCAAACCATTTTTAACGGCATGGCTTAAAGTTATTATAGCAACCCCAAATTTTAATGCAGCTGCCCGAATGCTAAGTTTTTCGGGGCTAGCAAGTGCTTTAAGAGCAGATTCAATTGCTTTTAAATGCATATCATGGTTAACTTTTTTAGATTTTGGCTTTGTTATAGAGTGTTTGATTACTATTTTGAATTTGGCTGTCATTTTGAATTTAGACACAATTTTAGAACTCATTTTACGGTTTGTTATTAATATTGTTTATTAATTTTTTTTATGTTTTACTTGTATATTTATTTTTTCTAATTGTTCAAATTTAAGCCATTTTATATATTTTTTTTATGACCTTACTCACGATTGTTTGAATTACAATTACAATCGTAATTGTCATGATTGTAATTCTTCAGATCAGGGCTAAAACGACACATATTATACATTGATTATTTAATAAGTGTCATTCTTAATTCTTATTAAATTAAAATTTTATTGGTTCACTTTGTCTATTGTTAAACTAAAATATTCATTCTAGTAAATTTGATGTATCAAAAAAGATACTTCAAAGAATAGGCAGCAGCGCAGTAAATAACCGGTGTATACTGTGTCGTTTTAGCCCTGCTTTAGATATGATTCTTGATTACAATCATGATTATGCTTGCAATTATTTATAGTTTGCAAAATTCTGACCCTTGCAGATTATCCAAAAAAAAATCGCTCATTGTTAGATGGTTATTCTGATATCGCGATATAAAAATAAGAATAAAAAAATTTTAATAATTACCTAACATTGTGTGATTTCTTATTTGGATAGTCTGCTGAAGCCACAGAATTTTGCAAATCGTAATAATTACTGATACAATTGTAATTTTATTTATCCGAGTTAGATTATAAGCGTGTTTGTTTATCTACAACTGTATCTAGTTAATAATAGCTAAAAAAAGCCCAGATAATTAGAGAATTAGCACAATAAAAACAAATCAATCGATTTATTTATAGGGCACTTTCAAGCATGAAATACGAACCTTACCTCATTATCTAACCATTGTTATAAAGTGTCTTATTGGATCACTCGTGAGTATTTCATGATCTCTCTCATGAATTGTCATTTAACTCAAATTATTATTTCTCATTGATTTTTTTTTATTTGCATCAATTATTTTATATATGTTCTAGTTCCCGGTTACAATTACCTTCATACGTATACGGCTACTATTTTGAAACAAAGGCTGACTTTCTGATAACTTGGAATTTAATAATGTCATTCAGGCACACAAGACTTAAATGGAGTCAAATGAAACTCATTGGATTTTTATCCATTGAGGTCCATTCAGAGCGAGACACGTATAGGTGTTATTTTGGGATTATGTAACTATTTTTAAGAAGCCAATTTCTAAATAATGCTATGCCCATTATTTCACGGCAATACGATGACTACTATTTAATAGTGTATCACTTATTTTTAATAAAAGAAATTTAAAAATAATTTAACTGTTCATTATTGATTAAAAAAACGCATCAATTAGAATAGTTTTGAAAGTGTATTAACAATTGTATAATCGGCACTATAATGGATATATTCAATGAAAATTTATTTATTGTATAATATTCCTATATAATAGCATCTAATTTTCTTTAAGTCAGTAATTCACATCTTCTCATTTTACCAACATGCCACCTAGACGTAGACGGCCTCGTCCAAATGCAAAAGCCAATGAATATAATTTACATCTTCAAGCTAAAAAAAAATAGGAACTCGCCAAAGTGTATAAAAAGCATAGAAGACAAGTTAGACAACATATGGAGAATAAAAATCAAGAATGTGAATTAGAAAAAATCAAAATGGAAAAAAGAGATCAAACTCCCGAATTGGGATAATGGTATAAATAGTCTTCGTAATTTTATATTGGTAAATTTTTTTTTCTTTTATTAAATTATAATATTGAATATTAACTAGTGTTGTAAAATTTTTTTTAATTAGGCCATTCAAAATTAATTAATGGGCTTTTATAACCGGCCGTATCAAAATTTGAAACCTATATTGAAAATAAGATGTAAAAAGTATAAAACCGATGTCTCTTTCGTGTTGAAATAAAAAACTGAGTTGAGTTTCAACCTTCAAAATTCGAGTAGAAATGTTATTTCTAAGTAGTTTTTCCTTCAATATAAGAATTTCATAATAAATCGTTTGCCACATTATTCTTTCTGAAGTCGTTGCTCATCATAAAAAAGAGAAAGTAAAAGAACCCAATTCTTATTATTTACCTTTATATACTTATTACTTATATTGATAATCCCTGTGATCCATTGTTATCATCATTATCGTCGCAATTACCCGTGACTATACTTGTTGGCAAAAAATTGAAAAAAAAAAAAAAAAATTTTAAAAATTTGTCAATATATTATATATAACTACAAGAATATATATTTGAGATATTAATTTAACCAGAGTTTGAGATTTGGCATGAACAAGTAGTTTGGGATTTCGCCAACAAGTATACCCGTGACCCCATGATACATGACAATTGTTAAGATTCTTAACCTAATATTGGATTCCCGGCGTACAAAAATAAAAAAAAGAAATAATTCATTAGTATTATGTCAGAGTATTAATTATAAGAATACTGAGTAGAATAAGTAGGGCTACTTATCCCAGCATCCAGTTGTGCTGCAGCAAGACCTGAAAATCTTGAATCTCTGACCAAGTCTCTCCACGCCTTTTTTTAGCCTTCCATTTCAACGTTTAGGAATCTCGGGCGATTGTTATATAGTTTTAGTAGTTTAGTTTAATGTTTGGTTAAGATTCTTAGCCATCGCCATTAGTTACCGCTTTCTCACCGGGTAGGCTTCTTTAAAAAAATTTATAACATTTTCCAAGCTTTTGGCTATTGTTATAGAAAAACAGTGCCGTATATGAAATTAGTAATGTAAAACCAACTTGTGTATTATAACTATAATAAAAGTCTAATTTGGATAAGTGTTATGTGTTATCGAAACAACTAGAATATTGTTTATTATGAATTTTATCTCGAGAATTAAATTTCAGCGCGAATTAGTTCCATATTCTCTCAATTATCTATTTACATTAAAGTTAGCCCTTTTTTGTTACCTTTTTTGTACTTCGTACTTCATTAATCTCTTACCCGAATAGGTAAAAAAGAAAAATAGCGTAATAACTACATCTTAAAACCCAATTGTTCCTCAACTTTTGAAGGAATTGATTAATTTTTCATATCATTCGATTCCTTTTGGTGGGACGAATCGAATGGTACTAAAATTGTTCAATTCTAATCAGTGGATCACAAGAAATTGTCAAAAAATATAAGTGTACCACAATACCCCCTGTACCATAATACCCGTACCTCCTTTATATATCAAACATATTAAAAAAAATAACTACATTTAAGATTTTTCTTTATTATTAAAATTTAGGGTTAGGGGGTGTAAATTTAACAAAGCTTAGGGTTAAATATTAATTAAAACCCCAATTTTAGTTAGCATAAGGTTTTTGGGAATTCTGAACATTTTTACTTAGTACCCGAGATGTGTTAGCTAGTACGTTTTTGAGATATAGCACCCCGGTGAAAAATATATATATATAAATAAATAAAAAAAAGAACGCGAAGAACGTCAAGAAGCAGTTCGATCTATTCTAAAATAAAATTACATCGTATATATTGTAAAACAAAATAATACTTGACTGATAAGTATAAAGATTTGATTGGCTAATCGGCATTCCACATGCGACATTCGTGTACATAGCGATAGATTGATCTTTTTTTTTTCATAAGCACCATGCAAAGATTTCAAATTCTATTTAGAGCGTTTGTTCGTTATTTTCCACGTAATTTCGTTTCAGCTACTTTGCATTCTCAAGGTGCGATAACACTAAACAAACCATTTTTATTCTCAAAAATTTCTCGCAGACAACCGGAAACGCGTCCTGTAGGAATTGGTTATATTTCAACCGAAATTTTTCTTACTTCACTAGGCTGTCGTTGTCAGTATAGTACAAACGCTAATGAGCAAAATACACAATCAAAAAATATTCCTACTGTCGATTGGAAAACTTTATCATTTTACTCATTTCATGCATTTCCCAATTCATTTTTACACAAAACACGTGAATTACTTTTACTCAAATTTGGCGAAATGGGTATAGTTGGTAGGATATATATCGCAACCGAAGGTATCAATGCACAATTGTCATGTCCAGTAGAGCAATTGGATGAATTAAGAAAATTTTGCGATCAAGAATTGAAGCTGGAGAATTTGGAATTTAACTTTTCAACAATTCACGTAAAAGCTTTCCGAAAATTAAATGTTAAAATCAGAAATCAGGTTTGTGTCGCATTATACTTATTTTTTTATTTTTATTTTTTTTTGTTGGATCGTATAGAAACAATTGACAATAATTTTTAGATAGTTTCTGATGGTTTAGAAAAAGGGTCTTACGATTTGTCTAATCAACCGAAACATCTCTCTCCTGAAGAATGGCATACAGCATTGTCTAATGCTAAAACTCCAATCATTCTAATTGATATGAGAAATCACTATGAAAGGTAGGATACATAAATATAGTGTCATTATACCTAATATTTTAATAAACAATGTCTCTTTTATAGCGAAATTGGATATTTTGAAAATTCAATTCGTCAAGACGTGGATACTTTTCGCGACAGTATAATTTCTATGAATAAAATACTTGAAGGAAAGCAGAATGAAGATATTTATATGTATTGTACTGGTAAATATTATATGATCAAGAATTCCATGAATTTCGCGCCAAATATAGGCGAAACACAGCTAAATAAACCGAAATTAAATGTCTGATACTTAGGAGGCATTCGGTGTTCAAAGGCTGGAGCAATACTTCTTTCGAATGGGTTCAAATCTGTATATGTTCTAAAGGGTGGAATCACGGCATATGGCCGTTACATTACTTTAAATCCATCAGTTACTTCATTATACAAAGGTCGTAACTTTACGTTTGATAAGCGTCTTGGAGAACCGATTACTAACGATATAGTTTCACAATGTCACACCTGCGGTGAACCATGTGATACTCATACGAATTGTAGAAATAAAACTTGCAATTTATTGTTTATACAATGTCAAGAATGTAGAAAGAGATTAAGCAGAACGTGTGGCAGTGAATTCTGTTTACGTCTAGTTAAAGCTTGGGATGAGAAATTTGGTAGACCTTCTGGATTTGATGATGTAAAACCTGGTTATCAATGCGTTTATGATCATGTTCATCGAACACGTCCAAAATTAGTGATTGAAAGATTAGGTGGGGCGTCTGCGAATGTACCATCGGATTTAGTTGAAATGCTCTTAGAAAAAAATTCAAACATTAAAAACTAGAATACATCACATAATAAATATAGATTCTATTTATTCAACATGTAGTTAGTAATCCGTTAGTTAAAATTAAATGCATACAAACTGATAAACGTAAATAGGATTTAAAAAATTTTTGTTTTATTTTTTATTTTTTTATTTTTTTATTTTTTAAAAAAATAAAGGTACAAGTATATAACAAAGGTTTTTTCTTTTTTACTTTCAAGTTCCCGATTTTTGTTATACGTAAATAGATAAACTAAGATAATCTTATTGATTTGTATAAATCCTCGTTTCCGTGATCAATTGGAAACAAGAAACATTTTGAACTAAGCAAAGGAAACTGATACAATGTCCTATTGTAAAAAAAAAATCCATGCAAACAAAAGTAATATGTTAAAAGGTTTGCTAGATTATAATTGCCAGATCAAAATAAAATCATCCTAAAAAAAAAAAAAAAAGAGCCAAGGAACTTTAATAACTATTATGAAAGAAATTTCAAGAAATGAATTTTTATAGTCACTAAGAATAAATTGGTGAATAATGAAACAAGAGGAGTCGGAAATGATGATAAATTGGAATTGATTTGAAAATATTTATTATCTACACGGCTCCAATTAGAATATGTACGGTGTTGTTAATTAGAATTGTAGGCCCAATTAACAAACAAGAAAAGAATGACAAATCAAAAGAATACAAAAAAAAAAAAAAAAAAAAAAGATGGGGTAGGGGTGAATACAATATTGTAACAAAAAAAAAAAAAGGAAATATTACAAGTTGTTTTTTTTTTTAAATGTAATAGGAACTTTTTTAGCTATACGATTTTTGCGGAAGGATTTACGAACGAGAATTGACAAAATTACTAAAGGAGAGTATGTGTTAAGAAGTTTGGTAATGAATTTTAGTGAATCAAATGACTGCCAACAGTAAATACAGTTAATGTGGCATTAACTTGTGTTGAGAATTATGTTCATCGAAGGAAAGACGATAATCATCTGAGCTAAATTCGTCTTCAAAAACGCGATAAGTTTTCAGTATATTCGGATCAGTTTTCAAAGTGTTCGTGTTGTCTTCAAAATCCTCATTCTCTTCAGCTATAGATGGTGTTGAGTTACTTGACATGCTGCTTGACGTGCTGCTTTGACTCGATCGCCCAGAAATGCGAGCTAAATAAACACTTTTTGATGATTCTAATTCATCAAACTCTATTTTTTCGTCAGTTGGTGCAAATGATACTTTACTTGTTCTTTTAGATGATCGCTTTGATTTTTCGACTTTCCTTTTATCTTCAGAGTTATTGTTAAAATTATCACTCGAATATGTTGAACTTTGAGAAGAGATTGAGCGATTACTGAACTTATCAAATGATCCACTTTCTTCAGAAGTACGATCAGAACCACTCGCATAATTTCTCTTTTGGATCATGTATGATGTATTAGAATCATATTTATATTCTTCTTCTTCAGAGATACCCCTCTGCCTTGAGATACCAGATATACCGTTTCTTCCAGGATAATATTGACCTGGGCTGTTTCTATTTGTGGTATCGATATAATCACCATGAATTATGTATTCATCATGTGAATCTGAATCACGAACTTCATCGCTCTTTCGATGATAATCATTTCGTACATGTAAAGACAATTTTCTTCCATTTTGAACATCAGTAACTGAGCTATTAAATCCGACCCATTGAAGGGAATTGACTGATTTAACGCTTGAACCACGATTTATATCAAAGATATTGTCTGTTAATGCATATGAATCAAGGGTACTGGATAATACTGATCGACGTAAGCTATATGATGGATTTTGTGACGAATAACGGGAATTACTATGATTATTAACGGGTCTGTGATGTGTTTGATGGGTAATATTTTCTACATCAACAACACTCAGTGTCACCGAAGAAGTTCGTCTATGGGATCGCTTCATGCGCTGTGGTTCCGTTATGTGAGTAATCGGAAAAGGTGATGGATCGGTCTTTTTAAGAGCGTCCGAAGACATTGACATACTTGTTGAAACCACAGAAGCATTGGAATTGTGCCGCTCCAATGATATTGAATCATTTTCATATTTTGATCTCGGTCGTATGAACGAAGGCATAGGTAGAGATGGTTTTCGTATTGATTTCACTGATCCGGGACTTTTATTATGTATTTTTTCAGAATTGGAGAGAAGATCGGGCTCACTTCCAAGTTGACCTCCAGGGCGAAAATAGGGATCATTACAAGTTTCGCATTTATCCTGAAGATCCTTTTTTAACTTTCGACGACGTATTATGAAAAAGCCTAGCAAACATAACATTAAACCAATAATACAAGCAATCCCAACAATAATACTCCACATCAAAGTATTAGGTCCTCCATTAGACTGATTAAACTGCGAAGTAGAATTTGCATTTTTCAAACTTTGAGAGTCAACCCACATATTAACTTTAGTGTCAAAGAAATATAAATTCCCATCAGTTATGGTCGTATTAGAATAACCACCCCAAATTGTCATTAAACCTGACTTTACAAATGCAATATGAGCACCCCGGGGTGATGGTATTAAAGATCGATCAACTTTTGCACTAACAGACACGGAAGACCAAGATAAATCAGGAGCATTCGATGCATCTAAGACATAAAGGTCATTATATCCATTAAAATCTTTATCAAACCCACCAAAAACATAAATCATTTTGTCATTGTTGTCAGCAGAAACCATTGATGAACAGGAACGAGGTGCTGGTATCGTTCCAGAAATCTTGGATGATACGTACATATTACTTGAAGTATCAAAAACATTACAATCATTTTTAAGGTTAAGGCTCGAGTCAAAGCCAAAACAAGATATTAGATATTTGCCAACCACCAATGTTGAATGTCCAGCGATTGGAGATGTACTATTAATAGTATTCCAACTATAAGATGTAAGGTCTAAATACATAAAATCACCAAGAATATTACTCTCACTTATACCGCCTAACACATAGACTTTTTTACCAACCACGGTAGCGGTATGAGCGTACCGGGCTGAAGCCGTGCCACTGATATTAAGAGTACTTACAACACCTGTTTGTATGTCAACTTGCCGAACGGGATCTGCAAACTTTAAAGGCGTTACACTTTCTGTACCGAACAATAGCAGAAATTTTGAATCACTTATTGGAACAGCTTCATGACCAGTCACGGATAATTTTGGATTCTGTTCGTTAACGGCCAACGTTGAATAATCCATAACAAGCATACTTGTTATGTCAGAGCCTACGACGCCTACGGAGCTATGGCCACCTATTATGTAGGCTTTTGAACCAATGACAATGGCCTTATGGTGATATCTAGCTTTGAACTCATTTATATCACCAAAATTTTGCAGAGCTCTTTTGAAACTTTCCGTTGACCTGGAAGGTTGGGAGGAATAATGAAAGAATTTAAGAATTCCCAACCTTCCTTCCGCATTGGGGATATTAGGGATAGTAAGTTCAGCGGCAGGTCGGTCCTCCGATATACAGTCAGGATGCTCGCTGAACCAGAACATTGCGGGAAGGAAAGGTATGGTGTATTCACCGTTGAGGATAGAATTGGAGCATAGTATGGCCACGAAATTATCGTGGTAGAAAGTTTAAAACTATTCATAATGAAATTGGACGATACTTGTACTCAAAAATTCGCCATACTAATTATGCAGTAGTAATACATGAACATATAAGAAATAATGCCTCGATGAGATTGGTACACGAATTTGAATCTTACCAAAAAGGTAGTTCAAACACGTTGAAAAAATTAATTTAATAAGTTAATCATAATTTTCGAAACTCCCGAAAGAAGTTATGAAAAGTTGCATAATGAGTCATCAACAAACAAATATCACTATATATTGGGTGATACTAATTATATCTATTATTATTATTATGGCTCAAAAATTGGTAATAAATTTATTAACGAACCTATCAGAAAATGATTCATTGAATTTAAAGAGCACACATATTGTTTTTTTTGATCAACGTTGGGGGAAACCGACACTTATGATAAAACCAAGAATTTGGAAATCAACCGCCAAACTCGTGATCCTGGTACAATATGACGATAATTTTTTTTTTTTTTTTGTATCACTATATTAAGTGCTTAATAATTTGTACAAGAGAATAATTTATTTTAAAATTATACAGAATAGAAACTCGTAGTTCCTTTAATTCATATTAAATTTCTCCGGGTTTATAATGTGTAGGATTAATTGGTAAGAATGCGGCAGCGACATTTCGACCCTCTTCGGCCAAAACATTGAATGTTGACACCGCGTTGTCCTAACCAAAAAGAAGTTATTTTAGTCAAACACTTTCGCTGATGATATATAGTCAACTTTCTCTAATGAAGCTTGCTTTAGAATTTTCTTAATAGCCCACTAGATTAGACCATACAAGTTAATTCCTTGGTTTTCATAATATGAAACTTTTAAAAGTCTTTTTTTTATCCGGTTTTTAATTTCAATATTGATTATGAAAACCAATCAATTAATTTTACATAGCATTATGGAAAGTCAACTATATATTGTTACATTACCACCAGCGTACCGTATCTGAGTATTCTATTTGTAATCCTAATTTATGGATGTAATCTCGTATTTCTGAGGGAATCGGAACAGACATTTTTCCTGTTCCAAAGATCAAAAGTTCTAAAATTCATATGATCATTAATAATATCTAATGGTCGAACCATTCATTTTGAAATAATAGGTCAAATAAATTGTTACCAGGTTTTGGTGTAATAATTTCAAAAATTTTCAGAAAATCTTTATTCCATCCATCAAACACATTATCTATCCTATTTTTTTCTTGCCTAAAACTACCTTGAGGAACATTCCACAAAAATAGAGATCCATTGATTAAGATCACAGGCCCTCTTACTCTTAAATCGGTTGAAGTTATAAACCCGTATTTTGTCACTTTACGAATCATGGTCCATGAACGTATTAAAGAATCATCAAATATATTATGAAAGGGTGATTTTGGTTCTGTTGGAATGTGTACTATAGTTGTTAGACGAAACTATTTTACGAGACGACGAAATACGAAACCTAACCTCCTGAAAGACGAAACTGTGAATGACAAAACCCCCTGCTGAAGACGAAACTTCTGCGAAGGACGAAACTCTTTGATGAAAAGACGAACATTAATAAAAAAAAACGAGATTATAAAAAAAAAAACAAAAATAAAAGCTGTATATAGTGTACGTATAGTTACGTAGTACTTAGGGTAGGTGGCACGGGGTCCCTGGGCATGCCCTAGAGGCATGCCCAGGGGGCATGCCCCTGGGGCATGCCTTTTGGCCGAAAGGCATGCCCCTATCATGTGATCATAGGAAGGATCATCACAAATATGATTGGTCGATATCAAAAAATAAAATTCAGCATAGCAGACAATCTTAAA